ATACCTAGATGGCACTTCTCTGGCTTCAATGTCAGGCCAGCGGCCTGAATCTTATCCAGTACCACCCCTACATGAACCAGGTGTTCTTCCCAGGACCCACTGTAAATTGCAATGTCCTCCAAATATGCAAGGCAAATTCTTGGAAGCCATCAAGGAGCCTATCCACCATCCGCTGGAAGGTAGCCGGGGCATTCTTCATCCCAAAGGGCATGACCTTAAATTGGTACAGGCCAAAGGGGGTGACGAATGCCGACTTGGGGATAGCATCCTCGGCCAGGATGATCTGCTAGTAGCCCTTACACAGGTCTATGGTGGTCAGGTAACGCCCCCTGGCAATACGATCTAGTAATTCGGCTACCCGAGGCATCGGGTAGGCGTCAGTGGTGGTCCGCTCGTTGAGTTGCCTGTAGTCCACACAGAACCGAGTGGTCCCATCCTTCTTGGGCACCAAGACTGCAGGCGAGGCCCAAGGGCTGTCGGAGGGTTTGATGACCCCAAGCTGGGTCATCTCCTGTATCTCCTTCCGTTTTCCTTCTCGGACTGCTTCAGGGATACGATAGGGCGGCTGTCGTAGGGGAGGCTGTCCAGGGGTCTCTACCTTATGTACAGCTAGGGTAGTATAACCTGGCTCCTGGGAGAACGTCGCCTGCTTCTCCCACAACAGCTGCTTCGCTTGTACCCTTTCGGTGGGGTTTAACCTGTGCCCTAGCTGTAGTTAGGTTAGTGAGGTCAGTCTGGGGGTCCCTTTCTAACAAATCAGGAAGGGGTAAATTCTCAGGGTCAGGGCCGGACTGGGAGAAAAATTCGGCCCAGGCATTTTTTTAACACAGCGGCCCACTAAGAAGGGGGCGGGGGAGAGGAGGTGTGTTTTGTCATCACCAATGACAAACACGCCCCCTCTCAAAGTGAGCATGTTAGTTCAATGCTCTTCCAGGGCAGACCATGCGCAGAGCTCTGCTGAAGAGCTCTAGCATGAGAAAAAAGCTCTGTATTTGTTCTGCACAGTGCAAGCACATTTAAAAACATGCTTGCACTGTGTTTCCTTGCAACTTGTCTCTGGTGTCTCTATAAATGGATACCAGGAGACAAAAATGCCAGGAAAGAGTATTGTGCATGTGTTTGGAGCCTGCTTGTGGTATTGCGTGTGTAGAGTGAGCTGATTGTGGTGTTGTTACCGGGAAACTGACGGAGGCCAAGCACAGAGAGATGGACACAGGTTTCTTCAGGAAGGAAGAGATCTTTATTCGATTCACCGACCGGGACTCAGAGGGACTTATGTCACCAAAAACAGCAAAGATCTGAGTACTGAATACATAGAGTACATTCCTTATATAGCACTGTAGCTTCTCCCATAACTAGCTACGCCCACACATACCCTTAACCTAATCAATGAATAGAGTCTAAACTCATCCATCCGGTCTAACCACGTGGCTCATCTGAAACAAAGGAGAGGAACGCGTAATTCCAGTTCCTGCATTCCTGCACATGCTCAGTACAGTGATGACAGTATCTTAGCTACGTGTAACTAACTAACTGATACTACAAACACATGTACCTACATATGCCTTGTGGCAATCTTTGCCTGCTAAACTTGTATTTTACTGGAATTCCATCACATTCCCCCCTTTGATGCTTCTGATTTAAAATAATTCCAGATGCATCACCAATCATAGTTTGCTTACACCTCAAGTTGCCATAAACCAGACTAGACTTTGCGACCCTCTAAAGATACGAACCCCTCAACATTCCTCTTCCTGCATGTATTCTCCTTGATCTAGAGCTTCATACCTGCAAACAGCCATTACCTGTGCTGCGGCCTTTCTTTCTGCTATACTTTCTATAATGCTCTGCATAGACCTAATTACCAAAGGAATCAGACATGGCAGAAGGAGACACAACATCAAAATCAGTATGACTCCACCTACCAATGCCTTGATTCCTCCAAACTGCTCATACCAACTACCAAACCAACTACTCGGATTATACCCTTTCCATACCTGAGTAGGTACATGTGCTAGCTTAACCATATGGCTAGTAAGCTCAGCTATTGCTTGTCCTTCATCATCTATTTGAAGACAACAATTGCTTAGATTAAACTTCCCACATACACCTCCCTCTACTGCCAATAGGTAATCCAAAGCTAATCTATTCTGGTAGATGGCTGTCCTCATCCTAGTGTTATGCTTCGCTAGGAGATTGAGCGCTTGTGATGTTTCATTGGTAACTATCTCAACTACTGCTTGCAATCTTATAATACGATTAAGCATATATATTGGGGTTCTGTATCCATAAGTACCATCCTCTGCCCACGTAGCTGGCCCATAATAATCTATAATACGCTGGGGAGGCCACTCATCATCTTCACAGGTACCTATCTCTAGGGGTGCCCTTTTCTTCCTCTGATTTACATCAAATACTTTAACTCCCAAAGTCTCTCCTGTGTCAATTGGCAACAAGAAGAAGGATGGTTTGAGCATACCCAATACACATGCCCCTTCCCAGTCCTGTGGTAACTCCGAATATGCATCTTACCACAAATCCAGTACAAATTTGCTGGGGCTTTCCAACTAGATGTAGCAGATAGGTCAAACCGTACATCCTTTAAATTGGTATAATTTGCAAACGGATTAGACGGTTCTGAGACATTTGAAGCTGACCACCAAATAGTATCCTTTGTATCGTCATTATAGGCTTTCTGCCCTAAACAAGTCAATTCTCCTACAGATGTATTAAACATTATTCCTTTCCTTGCTATACAAACATAACCTATAATGGAGGTCTTTAATCTCAGATTTACCTCTAACACTCACTTGATAATCAGATTGAGAAGATATTAGTTGTTCAACTGTCTCAGAACCAGAATACATTACCTCCTTTGCTTCCCAAGGCCATTGGTCTCCCATATTAGTACCTCCACACACATAGCAGTTGGTTACATTAAGACTACCAGCAATGCTCTCAGCTAGGTCTATGAATACGTTTTTGGCATTATGGGGAACCTTATCTTCCACACTCATCTCCTCATAAAAAGAATGGAAAACCTGATGAGTCTGGGGGCCACTGTATCTGTCTCTATTCCTATGTATAATATCGTCCCAGGATCCAAACCTGTTCCATATATTTGGAACCCAAATAGATTCCCAAACTTATCTATAAATAGCTCTGGGTCCTTGATAAGTATATGGACTGGGTTACACTCCATAGACTTACAATATGGCTTGGTAGGCAATCTACTGATAATCATATCCTTATCTACTGTCTGTCCCCAGGTTGCCCATCCCACACAGGACCAATATGGACAATAATTGTAGTCTTTATTTAGGCAGTTTGGATCTATATACTTATGCTTATTACTAGGACAAATATACTTATCATTAGACCCATACGTTCTTTCCCATTTAAGACCACCACATACATTCCATGGCTTCCTACTACCTGATATCGCCTTACATGCATCAAATAGCAATACACCTGGAGAATGTACGCTTTCTAGTACAGTCTTATTTATCAGGTTCCCCTGTGCGTTCTCATTCCGAATAGTCAACCAAATTGTACTGGGCTGATACTCAGGATTAAAACACCTAGGTTCTCCTGCTCCTATATGGCATACACTATAATCTGTACCTAGGTATCTACACTTTGATACATGTCCTGTGCACTCATATTGCGAATGCCAAATAAGGGTCTGGGAAATACGATTGCCTGTTTTCGTAGTCTTAATGCAAACCTTGCAGCCTGGTGTGTCGGTACCTCTACCTTCCTGAATAATTAAAAACACACAAATATACATCATCAAACACATTACTCCTGACATCTTCTTCCTAATTCTTCGACCGTGCGACGGCACCTCAGCTTCCAGGCGTGTGAGGGCTGCAGGGAATGGAGTCCTTCTGATCCTCTCTGTTCTTCACAGAGGATTCCTCTGGCTTAAACGTTGGTAGGTGGTCAGGCTTTATTGTGGCCATCAAAACACCTACTTGTAGATCTTTGTTGATGTTCCCTTGTAACAATACTCTTCGCAAAAAACACTTTTAATCTAACTGGGTCACTCGCTTCAACCGGATCTTGCAGGGATTCTCAGGATCTTGAGTAGCTTGCCAAGAATCTGCTGCTGGTTTAACCCTGGAGTGATGAATCCACAGAGTCACCTCTGCCACCTTTATAGCTGTTGGAGTAGACAAAAGAACAGCATAAGGACCCCTCCACTTTGGCCCCAACGGTACACTGTTCCACTCCTTTATCCAAGCTTGGTCTCCTGGATGGTAAGAATGGACAGGTGGATAAATATTTACAGGTAACCTATCTTGTACCCATTTCTGTACCTCCTCCATAGTTTTACCCAACTCTATAACCTGCCGCTGGGTAATTCCTTCTCCCAACTGACTCAAGTCCCCCTTAAGTTACTAAGTATGGGAGGTGGACGCCCATACATAATTTCAAAGGGTGATAGACCTAACTTTCTGGTAGGTGTACTACGAATGCGCAACAGAGCTATTGGCAAAAGAGCATTCCACTTGAGTTGGGTTTCTTGACACATTTTTGCCAACTGGGTCTTAATGGTTCTGTTCATCCTTTCCACTTTCCCAGAACTCTGAGGCCTATATGCTGTGTGAAGTTTCCACTTAATACCAAGCATATGAGTCAGTTGTTGTAGGCACTGATGGACAAAAGCTGGACCATTATCTGATCCTATAGAACATGGTAGTCCATATCGGGGTATTATTTCTCGCAACAGAAATCGCACAACTTCTCCTACTTTCTCTGTACGAGTTGGACACGCCTCTACCCATCCTGAGTGGGTACACACAGCTACTAGTAGGTAACGATGTCCGCCGGATTTGGGCATTACTGTGTAGTCTATTTGGAGATCGGACATAGGAAGCCCTCCCATGTACTGGACTCCCGGTGGTTTCACTGGACCTTGCCTTGCGTTGTTCTTGGCACATGACACGCATCTTCAAACAATGGCTTGAGTCAAGTTGGACAATCTTGGTATGTAGAAATGCTTCCTAAGAGATTCTTCCATACTATCTCTTCCAGAATGTGTCCCATTATGATAATTCTGGACAATTTCTACAGCTAGCGATGCTGGAATAACTATTCTTCCATCTTCTAACTGATACCAACTATTCTCCAAATATTTCCCAGCTTCAGTCTTTAACCACTCTACTTCTTGAGCTGTATAAACTGGAGTCCACTGGGACAGAGGGGTCGGTATAAGAGCTGCTACACACTCCACATATTCTTTTTGTCCGGATTCAGCGGCACGCTTAGCTGCACTATCTGCCATCCGATTTCCTTTCACTACATCACCATCACCTTTCAGATGTGCTCGACAATGTATGATACCAACTTCCTTCGGCTCCCATACAGCTTCCAATAGTTGTAATATCTCAGCTGCGCACTTGATTTCTTTTCCTTCTGAGGTCAGTAATCCTCTTTCTTTATACAAAGCTCCATGGGCATGAGTGGTTAAAAACGTGTACTTTGAGTCTGTGTAGATATTTACTTTCAACCCTTCAGCCAATTGCAAAGCCCGTGTAAGTGCGATTAATTCTGCCTTCTGTGCTGATGTTCCTTTTGACAATGGCCGCGCTTCTATCACCTTGTCTATAGTTGTCACTGCATATCCTGCATAGCGAATCCCTTCTTTCACGTAACTACTGCCGTCCGTGTAATACTGAACATCGGGGTTCTGGATGGGAAAATCATGAAGGTCCGGTCTACTTGAGAACACTTCATCCATTACCTCCAGGCAATCATGTCGACTCTCAGTAGGTTGCGGCAAGAGGGTAGCTGGGTTCAAGGTATTTACAGTCTCAAGATGCACTCTCGGGTTCTCGCATAACATGGCTTGATACTTAGTCATGCTGCTATTGCTAAACCAATGATTACCTTTATAGTCTAGCAACGTCTGTACTGTGTGCGGGACTCGCACATAGAGTTCCTGACCCAGAGTGAGCTTGTCAGCTTCTGCTACCAACAGGGCGGCGGCAGCTACGGCCCTTAGACAAGGAGGAAGACCACTGGCTACTGCATCCAGTTGTTTGGATATATACGCAACAGGTC